ACTGATACTATACTCAACAATGCTTTGAGGCAGATATGTTATCTTTATTTACATTAAAGGAATTGCAAAATAAAGAGGCAAAGACACCTCTGTGTATAGAAATATTTTGGTTGTATGCCTGGGACTGTGCAAGGGTTCAACAAGTTTTAGTTGAATTTAGTTGAACTTAAAGTCAAAGTATTAGTTGCTCAGTTCTGTCCGACTCATTGTGACGCCATGGACTGTAGCACACTAGTGATTCTCCAGGCAAGAATACTGAAGGGGGTTGTCATTCCCTTCTCCAGGGGATGTTCCTGACCCAGAGGTTGAACCTGGGTCTCCTGCATCACAGGCAGATACTTTACCTTCTGAGCCACAAAGAGCAGACCAACACTTAAGAGAACCCAGCTTGTGTAAGAGCCTAAGAACAATAAAAGTAATAAGTATAGTAGTGATTGAAGAACTTGGGGACATTAGAGTCAGACACATATACACATTGTAATCCCCACTTTGTCACTAGTAAGCTACATGATCTCTAATAAACTGCTTATTTCTTTAAACATTGATAAAAAACTATGAAATAGAGATATTATTCATACTGTTTTAAAGGGCTTTTTTATTGGTTAAATGTGAAAATAAATATAAAGTGCTTAGAAAGTCACCTGGTACAAAGTAAACCCATAATAAGCAACAGTTATCATTATAATGACTGTACAGTAACGTGAGTCAATATTAAGCCATTCAGTGAAAGGTTAAAAGTTTTCTAGTTGGAATTCTCAGTGCTATTATTTTCATTTATTTGTTCAGTTGCTAAGTCATGTATGACTCTTTGTGACTCCATGGACTGCAGCACTCCAGGCTTCCCTGTCCTTCACTACCTTCCAGAGTTTGCTCAAACTCACGTTCATTGAGTCAATGATGCCATCCAACCATCTCATTCTCTGTGGCCCCCTTCTTCTCCTGCCTTCAGTCTTTCCCAACATTGGGGTCTTTTCCAATGAGCTGGCTCTTTTTATCAGGTGGCCAAAGTATTGGAGCTTCAGTTTCAGCATCAGTCCTTCCAATGATTATTCAGGGTTGATTTTCTTTAGGATTGACTGGTTTGATCTCCATGCTGTCCAAGGGACTCTCAGGAGTCTTTTCTAGCACCACAGTTTGAAAGCATCAATTCTTTGGTGCTTAGCTTTCTTTATGGTACAGTTCTCACATCCATACATAACTACTCGAAAGACCATAGCTTTGACTATACAGACCTTTGTCAGCAAAGTGATGTTTCTGCTTTCTAATATGCTATCTAGGTTTGTCACAGCTGTCCTTCCAAGGAGCAAGCATCTTTTAATTTCATGGCCGCACTAACCATCTGCAGTGATTTTGGAGCACAAGAAAATAAAATCTGTCACTGTTTCCACTTTTCCTTCTTTTTGCCATGAAGTGATAGGACTGGATGCCATGATCTTCATTTTTTAAATGTTGATCATTTAAAATGTTGTCAGCTTTTTCACTGTCCTCTTTGACCCTCATCAAGAAGCTCTCTAGTTCCTCTTCGCTTTCTGCCATTTGAGTGCTATCATCTGCATATCTAAGGGTGTTGATATTTCTCCAGGAAATCTTGATTCCAGCTTGTGAGTCATCCAGCCCAATATTTTATATATTTGTTTTTGTTATTGTTGCTGTCATTGTTATTTTTATGGAGATTCAATAGGAAGTATAGCATAGGAATAGCCACTATACATGTAGGAATGTCAACTGATTAGTTCCTCCAGCTTTACCATAACAGTATTCAAAGCTGTAGAATATGACTCTAAAGGAAAAATAATGCTGTTTCCTTCCTCCTCAAATAGGGCTATTTGAAATGTTTTCTATTTTACCCTTCCTTCATAGGGTTGCTATACTAGGAAGAATACATAAAAATGAAAGTAATGACTGGTTTAAGAAGCTAGGTTAAATGTCATAGAAACATTATTTACATGCTAACTTAACTATCTCAATTGTGGTTGAATTAAAGAGCAAAGCATTTTTAAACAACCCTAAGGACTATCCTCTTAGGGGAGAAAGAAGAATTTCAGATATCTCAGAATACAAGGAAGGAATTTCTGGAACTTAGAGAAGACTTCTGGTTGGAACATCAATTAACCAGTATACTCTAGGCCTGAGATACCAATGGGCCTGACTTGTGGTTTCATTGCCTTAGTAGGAACAAGATGGCACATTGCCTGGAAGTGGTTGTCCTCTGTGGTGGGTGGGTGAGCACGTGGCCCTTTTTCCTTTCTTCCCATTAGGTATGCCCAACTCCACACTAGTGGTCAGTTTCCCAATGAGTAAATAAGGTTTGCTTTTTGACACACATTCCGCAAGCAAGCCAGATTTTAGGAGACAAAAGTCAAATGTGTCAAAGGAGAATTACAGAAGCCCAAGAAGCCTCAAGAGCATAGGGCTCGTGGGAGGTGGTAACAGGGACTTTGCTGAAGCCAGGGAAAGCATTACTCAATCTTCTCTTTTTATAAACATCCTTAGGATGGAAGCACTAGACTGTGGGCTACTCTACTAATTCCCGAGCAAATATATTGGGCCTTTTGTGGTTTACAATTTAGGACTTTATTTTGCTGTATCATCTGTGTATTTTTCAATGTTGTATTTCTTTTGGTTAATCTTCCTTCCTCCTGGGAAGCAAAATGTTCTGTAATAGCAAACACTGTCTGTGGTAAGTCCCTAAAACTCCAGTGCAACAGATTGCAAAGCCTGCTGTCCATTCTAAATACACTTGCATTGTTTCTCTCTGAAGCTGGTTGTGTTCCTGCCTCCAACTTTACATGCCATCTGTGTCATTTTTCTATGGTCACCACTCACTCATCAGTCCTTTCAAAAGATGTTTCACCACATACAGCAAAGGTGTTCTTCAAATGAAATCCACAAACCTGCTTGACTTGGAGAAATCTATTGACATCCCACTAATATGAAAACTGTGCCTATTTTTTTTTTCTGCTTTCGTTTTCTGTTTTCTGCTTTCGTACAAGTCTGCATACATTTAAAAAATATTTTAATAATGAAATATTTTAGTTCAAAGAAATTATGGAGAAAATATAATTATTTAAATACTGTATATCATCTTGCATATCCTAGTCAGATTTTATTATAGGTATTTTTGACTTAATAGGAATTTACTTGTAAGGATACTGAACCCAATAAATTATTTATTCTTGCACTCACTCAAAGGACCAGATGCTCTTGAAGAGAGTCTTAAGATACCCACAGGTGAAAGGCAAATAATAAAGTAGAATAGAGTGATTCCATGTGAGAAGGGATAGGAAGTGGAAAGGACTGTGGTTATGGGAGGACCTATCCCAATTTGCCCAGAGCCAGTCCTGATTAATGCCTGTTGTTTTGGCATAATTATTGATTCTACACTTATCATTAAAGCTGAAGCTCCATTACTTTGGCCACCTGATGTGAAGAACTTACTCATTTGAAAAGACCCTGATGCTGGGAAGATTGAAGGAAGGAGGAGAAGGGGACAACAAAGGATGAGATGATTGGATGCCATCACCAACTCAATGGACATGAGTTTGAGTAAGGTGAGGGAGTTGGTGATGAACAGGGAGGCCTGGCGTGCTCCAGTCCCTGGGGTCACAAAGAGTCAGACACAACTGAGCAACTGAACTGAACTGAACTGACACCTATCATGTCCAAAGTATGGTGGCTTAAGCAATAAATTATATGGCTACCCCAACTCTGAAGAACTAGAGAGCACATTTTCTACCTAAAGAAGTAAGCTTCTGCTTGGCTCCAAAAAATTGCTGTCATGTTGGAATAAAAGATCTGTGCTTTTTCAAGCAAAGCCAGCTTTGCATTTTGGGTATAGTCACCTGATATTTAATGTTAGTTCAGCTCTCTTTGTGTTCTCAAAGAGTTGGACATGACTTAGCAACTAAACAAGAATAGCAACTCTTATCTTTATCTTTATTTTCTTTATAAGACAAATTTGTCTGAAAAAAATAGATTTCCCTATGGGTCACTAATTTACAATCTCTTTTGGCCTAAAAGTTCTACAACTTGGGAGCTTGAATACCACCATTTTCCTATCTACCCCAGCAGGCGGAATGTGTGATTCAACTTAGCATATTCATGTATACACTATGATTCAGGTTAAACAGATCCTGTTGGAAAGCTTCTAGTGGAAGCATCCATCCTCAATAACTACGAAAACTGACCAAATGATGGAAAGCAGAGTGATAACTCAGGCTTAATTACCTGATTTGCTGACATCTGTATTTAAACCATTTTTCATCACTAAATATCTCATTTACTGAGCACCTACTATGTGCTACACACTAAGTATGCCATCTACATTATCATAATGCTAGTAATCATAGCAATGAAGTGACATTGGCATCATTCCTCCAGTTAAAACAAAAAGTTGGATAAGGCTCAGAAAATTTATGTGATTTGACCAAAGTCCCATGGCTAATAAATGACTGAGTCAAGATTCGTATATAAGTATCTCTGAGCTCCAAATCCTGTGCTCTGTCTTTTGTATTGATTCTTTACCGGAAAAAAAAAAATAGCTTCATCACTTAGATTTTCATCTGATGCAAATATATTATCTAAAACTGTACAGCTTCCTTTTGGTAAAAGCAGCTATAAAAGAAGTTAATAAATTCAAAGAATAAAGCAACCAAGTGATAAAAAATTACCATGACACCTATTCAGCAATGCAAGGTAGAGGAATAATCTATAAAACACAGTCTCACAACTAAAAATGTCAAGCTGCTGTCTACACAACTATGTGACACTGGGAATTGTCTTTGGTCAGGCTCCTTAGATGCTGAGATAAGACAATGATTCTTAATGCAATTGATGGTTTGAAGAACTACTCCTATGGGAAACCTATAAGGGTATGAAAGGAGTGAGTTAATGTGGGGATAGTTAAGTCAATAAGGCGTTTAGGAGAAGTGCAGCTTCCTGATACTGTAGGGAGTTCTGGAACTTGGATTGCATCACAGAGTCTGTCTTCACCTAGAGACAAGAGAGCTGGCCTCTTACATTCCTGTCTCATCAAATCTGTGGTAATGGGTTTCCAGCATCCCCTGATGAGGAAGCTCCTATCAACCAAGGCCAGGCCTCAAGTGAAAGAAAGATATGAGTCCTTAGAAGCTAATACCTACACAGCGGACAATTGGGACCTGCAGGTGGGTAGGAGGAGAAGTAAGAAAGTGGGAGGTGGGAAGATTAAGACCACCAATAACAATATCTGCAGCAGGTAATTATTCTCTATTTATTCATAGAATTTTTATTTTGTGTCATTTTAAATTATTTCATCTTCAAATTTGCATTTTCTTCTTTCATGAGTAATTTTTAAACTTCACTGAATTTTGTCTTTCACTGTCCCCAGTGTCCAAGTCTTCCCCTTTCTTCATTCATTTTTAGCCCCAGGGAAATACATAATAGCTAAGGCAAATTAATTCACAGACTGATTCCTTCCTTTTTAACAATATTTATTACAAAATAGTATAGTACAGCAGAACAGTTTAGTTACTCCCTTGGAGACTATTATATTGAGCTATGTCATATTACACAAGTGAAAAAATTATTAATGTCAGATACAGAGGAAATTATTCTTTGTCTTAATAAGAATGTGATTCTGTGCCACAAAAATGTTTATATGCATATTGCATCACTGATCAAACAGATGATATTAATAGTAACAGTTCAGTTCAGTTCAGTTCAGTCGCTCAGTCGTGTCCAGCTCTTTGTGACCCCATGAATCGCAGCACGCCAGGCCTCCCTGTCCATCACCAACTCCCGGAGTTTACTCAAACTCATGTCCATCAAGTCGGTGATGCCATCCAGCCATCTCATCCTCTGTCANGAGTTTGAGTAAATTCTGACGGTTGGTGATGGACAGGGAGGCCTTGTGTGCTGCAGTTCATGGGTTCGCAAAGAGTCGGACACGACTGAGCGACTGAACTGAACTGAAAATAATGCCAGCCACTGCTTCCACTGTTTCCCCATCTGTTTGCCATGAAGTGATGGGACCAGATGCCATGATCTTAGTTTTCTGAATGTTGATATTTAAGCCAACTTTTCCACTCTCCTCTTTCACTTACATTAAGAGGCTTCTTAGTTCCTCTTCACTTTCTGCCATGATAGTAATAGTTGCTGAACTATTATTGTTATATGCTGATAATCTTTAATATGAATATGCTGATTTTTATATGTTTTGTATGTATTACATGTTATAACAATGCCTACACATTAGTTGTATGAGTACGAGCTTTTTAAATTCAGAAGTCACATGCAAAACTTTTCCTTAATAAAAACAAAAAACAGTAAGTCAATAAATACTTATATTTTGACAATATATAAAAATGAGTCAACTCAGTTTGCCCCATATTTGATTTCTTCAAATCGCTGCCAACTACCCTGCTTATAGCCAACTTTTGACCTGGTGTCCAGTGGACTGGCTAGAGATTTGGAAGCCATTGTGGAGATCACACAGGCTATATTTGGTGACACAGGTGAAACTGATGTTTTTCACACAAAGCAGGAGAACTCTCTGTGGGAGAGTCACTTCTTTCACAATTCACAAAGGATGAGAAAAATTTTTCTGGCATGATTTACTTGTGGGGTGCAAGAATTCTATCTTAGGGTCTCTCCTTGCTTAAATTAACTAAGAAAATTTTTCAGCTCTCATTAAATATACCAAGGCTTTCAGAAATTCAGTCGTCATTCAAATGTTTTCAAGTGTAACCTTACAAATGAAGGCTGAAATCTATAAGATTTTTATAGCCAGTTTCTAAAAGACTAAGAGGAGCCTGGTTTGCTATGGCCCATGGGGTCCCAAAGAGTCAGACATGACTTAGTGACTGAGCTAAAAGACCAAGATGTATGAATTTGCTTTTATGAAAACTTAAGGATTCTTATTCACCAGTGGGCCACTGTAAGTCAAAGGTAGCCTTACAGAGTCTCACCACTATGTTCTGAAAGACTTCCTGAAAAGCTTAGGAATGAAAATAAGGGATTGTGATTCAAATGTACCCCAAAACTCTGCCCCAACTGTCTAATTTCTACTCAACTGAAATTCTGAAAGTGATAGTCGCTCAGTTGCGTCTGACTCTGTGACGCGTGAACTGTATCCTGCCAGGCTCCTCTGTCCACGAAATTCTCCAGGCAAGAAAACTGGAGTGAGTGGCCATTCCCTTCTCCAGGGGATTTTCCCTACCCAGGGATGGAACTTGAATCCCCTGCATTGCAGATAGATTCCTTACTATCTGAACCACCACGGAAGCCTAAAATTTAATCAGTTGGGTTCATGTTGTGCTCAGTTGTGTCCGACTCTTTGCGACCCCATGGTCTGTAGCCCACTGGGCTCCTCTGTCCATGGGATTTTCCCAGGCAAGAGTACTGGAGTGGGTTGCCAGTTCCTACTCCAGGGGATCTTCTCAACCCAGGGATCAAACCCAAGCTTCTTGTGTCTCTTGCATTGCCAGGTAGATTCTTGACTCTGCTAAAGTCAACTGATCAGAGAGTAGCCAAAAAGAAGTTATGTTCTTTTTTTTGGCAAGATAAATATTTTTCATCTTTTCATTAGCTCACAGACCCTTTGCGTGAGTATGTGTGCATTTTGTTTTATATATATGTATACATACAGACATACATATATAAAATTTATTTTGGCTGCACCAAGTCTTAGTTTCAGCATTAGAGATCTAGTTCTCTGACCAGGAATTGAACCTGGGCCCCCTGCACTGGGAGCTCAGAGTTGTACCCACTGGATCACTAGCAAAGTCCTGTATGTGTGTATTTTAAATGTTCATCCTTTCCTCATGCTTTCCACTGACATAGCAGCAAAAATTTTCCTCTCTCCATTACACCCCTCACAGAGTGAGTATCATCTGCCTCCCCACAGTCAGCACAGAAGAGTCTATGGTGCTCTTCCTACTGTTAACATTACAAAAACAGTAAGCATGACTTTCCTTTTCCAGATTTAAAAGTATAATATTGAGTAAGCTTTGAAAGTTAATATGCTGTCCTTTCAGAGGTGCAGAAATGTGCACATCCCTGTTGAAAAACACCGCTTTCAATTTTCAAAAGAAAAATATTATTAAATAGTCAGATTTTCGTATTGGTTGAAAGTAAATGTGAATGACCCATATTTCTTGTTGAAGAAATTAGAGAACTTAAGATACAAACAATGTAAGAAATAAGCTTTGTAGAAATAAGCGGCCCTTTGTGTGTGCTATTTGTGCCCAGTTGCTTAGTTGTGTCCAACTCTTTGTGACTCCATGGACTGTAACCCACCAGGCTCCTCCGTCTATGGGACTTTTCCAGGCAAGGATACTGGAGTGGGTTGCCATTTCCTCCTCCAGGAGATCTTCCCAACCCAGGGATCGAACCTGTGTTTACTGTGTCTCCTGCACTGGCAGGCAGATTCTTTACCACGGAGCCACCTGGGCGCCAGGCAGTCCTTTAGCTGAGATTAATTGATGGTCTTTCTGAGAGTAGCAAGGATGGTGGTAAACATAGCTCCTAGCTGGTCTGCCTTGTTCTTATCAAAGGTCATGTACCCTCGAGTAAAGAGCTATGGTTTGGAACTAAACCAACCTCTCTATCTTATTAACCTAACCAACTCTGTGTGTTTGTGTATATGGGTGTGTGCAATGGAATAAAAACTCCGTGCTATTTGGCATATAGAGTGCCCAAAAGAGTGTATATGGCATTGTGTTTACTGTGTCTCCTGCACTGGCAGGCAGATTCTTTACCACGGAGCCACCTGGGCGCCAGGCAGTCCTTTAGCTGAGATTAATTGATGGTCTTTCTGAGAGTAGCAAGGATGGTGGTAAACATAGCTCCTAGTTGGTCTGCCTTGTTCTTATCAAAGGTCATGTACCCTAGAGTAAAAAGCTATGGTTTGGAACTAAACCAACCTCTCTATCTTATTAACCTAACCAACTCTGTGTGTTTGTGTATATGGGTGTGTGCAATGGAATAAAAACTCCGTGCTATTTGGCATATAGAGTGCCCAAAAGAGTGTATATGGCATGAAATGGGAATTTAGTATTTCATAATATTGTAATTATGGTTATTATAATTCAAAGAGCAAAACTGTCAAGCAAAACTTCTATAAGTATTGCCAGCCTTACTTGGCCTAAGTTCCTTTAAACATACAGCCAGCACTCCACTCCTCTCCCCACCGTGCTGTGATAATTTCCCATGCTTGTGGCCCCAGCCTTGACAGTAATCATCAAGGAAGCCTGCCCTGCATCCAAGCCTGAGTGAGATGTCCCTTCTGTGACTCCTCTTAGGCTTGGTGTTGTTACAACTGTGATCACTTGTACTGATAATATCTGTAGGCCCTTGAATACATTTTGCTTGACCTTGTATCTCCACAGTCTTGCATGGCACTTAAAACATTGTGTGTGCTGAATACATGCTTTTAAATGGATACTGATAAGTAATTAACACATATACTATTATCAGGCTGAGAGAATTATTCAGATCACCCTAGAAACTGATCCTGGTCAGATTCTCTTTCATTCCTATATAGCTTTTCAAATTTGTGACCCTAACTTTTCTTCTTGACCATTGTCTTCCTGATGGACATTTTCCAATTAACTCAAGTTATTTGACCCTACCTGTCCTCACACAATTTCATGTACTGAATCATGAACAAAATCCAGCACCTGCTCTTGCTGCTTCTAGAAATGATGCTACTGAATATACTTTGACTTCTACCCTGCTCAATCCTGTTTAAGTCCCCTTGAAAGAACTCTCATCTGTATTATCTGCTCCTCTAAAAACCTTTCTAGTTATGCCCTTCACTATGATTTCTAGTCTTTTACCCTAAAGTGACTTTATTTATTGCATGACTTTAATGCCCTTTTCTTCTGATTTAACCCACATACTTCTCAGTTATGATTATCTACCATGCATCCTGTCTTGCCTTTTTCTAACTTATTCCTATACTTNTGGGCTGGTGATCTGTTTCACCCTAGATAATATACATGTTTCGATGCTGTTCTCTCAAAACATCCCACCCTCGCCTTCTCCCACAGAGTCCAAAAGTCTGTTCTGTACATTTGTGGCTATCTATTTTAAATATAGCAGTGTATACATGTCAATCCCAAATTCCCAATCTTGCCATTCTTAATCAAGTGTCTCTGTTGAAAATGTGACCTTTTCTTTGGGA